CATATCAAGAGAACAACAACAGGTTAGTCACCTCTCAAAGGACCAGGGAAAAGGTGCAATTGCATGGAGATACGACCGCAAAAAAGTGTGGCCACACAGACTGATTCCAACTTTCCATCAAAAGCACAAAGCATCAGATACGGATCACTTCAAACCGTTAAAAAAAGGTATAGCTCGCTCGCGGAAGTACAATTGTTCCAATCTCAGATTGTCATCAACTTGCCAATTGATAATTATCTTTTTTGAAAGATAGCAGGAGAGCTGCTACTATTCATTAAGAGGAAGCGGTAAAGAGTTATCAATCTCAGGTTGTCATCAACTTGCCAATTGATAATTATCATCAACAGTATAACATCAAGTTGAAGCACAGGTAAGAAATGATCTTCACATCAATCTTTCTCCAGTCGTACAAGAAGATGACAGTCTCAGACTACTGAGTTGGATCTCTCCCCCTTTGCCTGTGACAGCAGGCAACCATGGAGAGAAAAAAGGACCTCAAACAATGAAGTCTAGCCTATACAGAGCAACTACACCTAAACTACTCTAACCCTGAAAAAATGGCTGTGCCAAAAAAGAAAATCCTAGAATGGAAGGAAAAAACAAGAGCCGCCATGGAGACCCATCAGTCGCTCCATCGGAGCAACATGACGACGCAGCGGCGGAAGATGTAGAACCTAGCCCTCTTCTCTCTGAAAGCCCTGTTGAGCTTCCCTTGGCCTCCAATCTTCATGGTATGCTCAGGAAGCTTGGTGCAAGGCAAAGAGAGGAGTGCAGCTAGGCAGACAGCTTGTAGACTAGTGGCTGGTGTGGTATGAGATGAGAGGGATGTTGAGTGGGGGGGCCTTTATATAGAGGCACACAAGGGATGATATGCCATATCAAAAGGACATCATACCCCCCACATGCAGGCAGTTTGTTTACGCACTAGGAGGCACACTTCTGACCCTAAACTTATCCTACTCATTATTCTACTTGCTTGGAGCTTAGGAGCTAGCAAAAGGCTTAAAGTATGCAATGGCCATGACCACCCCAGAGAATTACAGTGGTAAAAACAGACAAGATCAAGTGGTCATCCATCCATCCATGCAACAAAGGCAGATGAAAGGTTGTTTAGTGACTCCAAGAAAGGAACTCCAAAAGATATCCTACCAATGCTTGGAGGGAAACTTCCAGGAAGGTCACCTTGATGCATAGAGTAGAACTGATTAAGCTTACCGCTAACAGGTGTTAAAACCTGGTGATTCGGCAATTAGGAAATGCTCTACACAAACGACGAAGCTAGGGGTAAAACTCAGACTTCTATGAAACTTGTCTGATTCCACTTTCCGTGCACTGGCATGGAGTTCTCAGTCCTGACTAATTCAAATTATTGTTGACAGATGATAACGCCTGGTAGTAGTGCATTTATGAAATGCTCTACAATAGGCTTAAAGTTTGGACTTCTAGGAGACTTGTCTGATTTCACTTTCCATGCAGTGGGATGGAGCTATGTCCAATGTGGTACTTCCATTAGTCATTACAGCTATGTTTGATACACATCCTGGTGACAGCAATCAAGTCGGCAGCATAGGACAGCAGTAGGATATGAACACATCGTAATTCTTGGACTCAGAAAATTGTTTGAGTGGGGAGTCAAGTATATGAGTGCTCCACGTACTTCAGATCATTTTACTCAAACATCAGGTTGTTTTGTTGATCCATCTTAAAAACTGAATAATTTTGAATGCAACATAAAAGTATATTTCTTTTGTAGTGCCATGAAAACTAGATAGTAACCTTTGTCAAAGTTTCCTGTTCACAGAATTAGCATATTGATATGAACTAACCAAGTTCCCCTATCGCCTTCTAGTCAGATGACAGGGTCCTTGATACAAGACCATAAATTATCTGTGTTTCTTATCCCCCAAACAGCAGCTATATTGGCAATAAGTTCCCTAGATCAAGGTAATTATTTTCGTTAACTACCGCAAATATCGTTTACATGTCCCCATTGTAAGAGAGGAAGAGACACAGGGGATATGGCTAGTGTGCACATCTTGTGACATTAGCAACAGATTAGTGTGCACAGGATATGGCTAGGGTTATATATGCATCTGTGTGGCTATGCACCTAGACTATGCACTTATCTATCTCACATACGTCTTCACTCGACAGCTGTAGCTAGGCAAACATCATCCATGCAATCACTACAAGACATCGTTAAGTACAAAAAGGTTGCAAGGGAAAGCAGTAGTTATTACAGGGCTGAACATTAATCATGTATGATGGAATCAAATCAGAAGAAAATCTCCATATGCATTGAACCTGTGTTATGCTACTGAGGCCGTAATATTAGAACAAAACTGAGGATCGAAGATGAGGGTATCACGAAGAAACTTCCTAACTGAAGGATGATCTCAGTATGATCTTGGCCTTCCTTTTTAATAATTTAAAAGGTGCCTTTTTGTAGTCTGCAATTTTCTCAATATAACAAGAGATTTAAAGTGCTTAGTGGAGAATGAACAAATTATGTGCCTCCATTATTTGCTGCATAAATTTATATTTTAATATTTTTTAGGCTTACAATCTGCAGAATAATCTTAAACTAAGTCAACTGCAACTAGTTAGGGAAAAGTAAAGTACTACTTGCCTTGGAACAAGTACTTTTAGTGCTTCAACACTTCAACAAAGCCAATCCTAGCATAACATGTAGAATTCATGAACTCAACAAAAACAAATTCCACACTCAAAACATATATCTCAACAACACAATGCTTATGTTGGGAACCATGAAATATCACAACAAAATCTGCAGATGCAATGAACATAGGCCTTATTAGGGGACAACGACTTAGCTAATAACAATATTAGCAGTAATAAATAATGAGCTAGGCTGGCAACTGAGGCAGTAATCATTTTGTTGTTTTCTCACTAACAATGATGAACTTAAAGACTTACAGTCCTAAAAAACACCTTAGGGAGCAAAACAAAATGCACATGTGAGCAACAAGAAACATTATTTAAAGATCATCACTTTCAGTAAAAGGTATCGAATAGGGAATAAACAGATAAAACTGAGCCAAAAATGAACACACACTCGTCAATCTGTCTTTTGCCCAGCTTAGCCCTCCATTTCCATATAAGAGTAGAATCAACATATGCATTAGAATATTAGATAATGTGCACCTAAATAAACTGGATACTTGATAATGAAAATAAAATTACTACCACTATAGCTAATTTTCTGGATGTGATCAGATATAGATTATTCTCCATTTATCCTAAATTTCGAATGACTATTCTTTTGCAACAAACCGGACAGTGCCTTTTTCACAATTTGAGGTACACAGAAATACTTTTCAAATGATACAGCATATGTTTTTGGGTAAGGTAATTTGTTCCTTTCAAAAAAAAATATGGGCATTCAAAAGAACAACACAAAGATGCAGATAAAATACATTTTTTACCGAGTAACACATATATCAATGGAGGTATGCAGGTATTGAACCATCTCTTCATAAACCTCCATTGTACCAATATTTCTCCTATTCGGGGCGGATAAAGCATGAGGAAGTGTACAAACAAATCCCGGCATGCAACTAGTCACGAACGGGCAACGTGAACTCGCACAATATGAAGAATTCACTTTTGGTGTGTAGTTGTGCCTTCAGTATAGCCATTAGCAGATGATGTCAACATTTCTCTCCTCAGCATCCACCATTAAGAATCCAGTGCCCAAGCTATGAATGAGAATATAAGGCCCGTCAGAGGAAGGCTTCAAATTTATGTTATTTTATTTTATCTAGTGAAAGAGAGGAAGATTTCAAATGATGGTCTCTCAAGGTAATAGACAACCATGTGTATGGTCGGGAAATTATAAGTTGTTGCGGTACAGAAATAGTGCTAGACAAGACCAGACAGGTCCCATTACTACAGCAGTGAAAAGATCATAGAGTTCATCAACCCTTCTTCATATAGCTCTCCATTCTTGCCCTACTATTGTTTCGGTGAACCGGTTTGTCAATCAGTTAGGCAACAACTGTACATAGTTGCATGGGTTGCCTGCATGAGAGTCAAAAAAGAACGAGAACCAGCAAGACAGCTGAAGTTAGCTATTGAAATTCTTTAATGTCAAAGCTCGGCAAAGTTGTGGCTACAAGGATTAGTAGGAAAGTTGCACCACTAGAACACTAACCAATTGAAGTGGAACAAGACCAGTGCATGCATAAATGAAGAGAACATATCACAGTCAGCAATTCTGGATAAATTGGCATATTCTCAAGTGTGCAGCTTAACAAAATTGCTCGGAGGATAGATAAGTCGGGAACAATATGCCTCCTCTGCAAGTTCTAAGGAAACAAGATCAGATTCTTCAATATTTAAAGAGAACTGGCTTTTAACTCATTTGCTCTTCTACAAAATAACCAACAGAAGAACAAAATAATTAAAGTTGCTCAAAACTAACCAAAGATGCATAAGATCCTACCAACCCGTCAGACAGATTGAAGGCAAGAGATCTTAAAAGTACTCAACGTACAAACACTTATATTTATCTATCCAAGAACATCCTTGTCTGATATAAATGAATTCTTGTGTTGTATGGCAACTCTAATTGAATTACCAAATAATTCTGCACAGTGCAACTTGCATGATATTATAAGGCTTTTTATGAAAAGCAGGAGCTTAAACAAGTCTACCTCTAGCCCCAATCCAAAATGCCTGAACAAAAAGCTGGTGAGATCATGGATGCTCACATGGTCTGGTGCATTGCTCAACTCACAGCTGCTTCAGCCATGTTATAAGTTTCAGAATCCATTGCCAATTTCCATCTCTCAAAATGATTGCACTCCAGGAGAGAGAAGAATATATATAAAGAATACAAGCCTGTCTCCTAAATTATATACTCAACTTATTCAACTTGGCTGCGTACTTGCATGTGAGTGAACTCATTCTTCTGTCTCTATAAAGGCACTCCAGATCCTCACATGCTAACCAATTCCACAGACTCAATCAGCAAACCTTTATAGCATATGATCTGCTTTAAACTCTAACAACCAAAATAATTTGTACTTAGCCTTGTAGGCATGGGAGCAGAGAGGCTCCTCTGTTGGCATGACTGACTCTAAGTCTATCATCTCCTGTTGTCTGGAAAGATAATAAAGGGAAGGTTCGTTAGAGCAGCGGAAGAGTGTCAAGCTCGGATGTATCATCTGATTGTCTGGACAGGCTCCTTTGTTGGCATGACTAACTAAGCGTTCGCCAGCCAGCATTTGTCTTCCGTCTTGCAACATTTCAGCCAAAATTTAGAGTTTTTTTAGGCTGATATAAACCTGCAGGAGAGCCATCTTGTCCAGGAGGTGTTAAGAAAAAGAGACTAAGAGCTAACTGGGACATCAAGGTGCAGTTGCGCACTTGCAAATTGTGAAGTCAACCTCTTCTCCACTCTACCACTGATGAAACATTGCAATATTGCTATCTTTCTGTCTATTTAACTTAACACTTTGTATTGGATTTTTTATGTTGTACATACATCAGTGGTAAGGGAGGTCTAGGTTTTTCATCTAATTAAAGGATAACTGTATCATGTATGTTATAAAAGAAAGGATCCCTACATGTGCAGTCAGAGCAAACTGCGAGGTTTGCTTCATTATAGTCCTTTTTTTTCATCTCCCTGCGGCATCCATTTCACAGCTAAGAAATAGCAAATAAATTACTGTATCAGGTCTTCCGGTTGTTTTCAGTTAGAAGATACCCAACCAGTCACAGTTTAAAGTTTCAATATTGTCGTTTTTAGTTAGAAGATACGACCAGTCATAATTTAAAGTTCCGTTGTTGCTAAACCTTGTTCCAGGAACAGAAAACAACAACAAAAAACGAAATCTTACAACGGAAGCTATATCAAACATATCATACAAAGTAAGAAATTGCCACCTGATGTGAAGCATGTGAAAAATTATCTCTCTATCTTCATTAATGAACAGCATGTACAGATCAGCAACATACAAGAGTAAAGCAACAAAAGTTCTTATGGAATATCCAGCGTTGTTCAATTTTGAACATACTGATAGAAGTAGCTTCCTAGCCTATCAGAGATACATGGTAGGACTAGCTGCCTAACCATCAAAAGCTATGTGAATGACGATGCTAACGGTGTAGCGCGTTCATTAATGCTCTCTGGTTTGTCGACCTTGCCCAGTAGAGTTCTTTGATCATGAGACATTTGAACAACAGAATATAGCTCCCCTTGGCAAGGAACAGAACCACATAGGATTTACTTATGTGCACTGCTCTTGGGGATATTTTATGAGTTGACTTCCCCTTCAACAGTTCATTATTTTTACTTGTTTTTCTTACTCAGCTGGTGCTTTTGTATGGAAGATCTAAAGGCATACAACAGACATTATTTACGTCAGTGCAGAGACTAAGAGATAGAACAACGTGCCAGGTGTTATGGTTTTGCCTAGTGATGAGGTATTTATTAGAGCAGCAACAAAGCCGAAGTTCACTCACAATTACGAATGCATCGTATAGGTTATTAGGAAAAAGCACTTGGTAATTGCCATCACTCAATGCTAATGTGCTTATATTATGCAAAATTCACAACACTGAAACCTTGAGAGCTACTTTGGGCAACCCAAAAGTTTATCCTGAATTGAAAGAGCTACAAGCCTACAATATTCACGGAAAATGATTCCAAAAGTAGTCAATCAACTATGTAAGGTGTTCACAAAATCTGGAATGCGTACACATCTGTCCACAAAATGTAAAATGCGTAAACATCTGTCAGCCAAATAAGTAAGTGCAGAGATCACATCTGTGCCTTATGTACCTACTTCCCAGTTCTAGCACACAGGATGTAACATAGACAAACTTAGTCTATTGTTCTGCTAATCTCATAAATAGCACAACTATGAAAATCAATTTTACTCATTTCAAGTGAAAAGAAATACACTGTGCCCACATGTTACTCCAAGTTTCCAATTGTAATAAGGCGAAGAAGAGAAGCAGTCGTACAGTTTATTCATACCTTACGAAACAAGCAACTTCAATAGTGTGAACAATATCTATCACTGTTTTTCTTTTCAAGTATCCGCGGCTCATAAGCTGGGAGAAGAAACAATCTAACACTTTACATTAGGAGATTATCCATATCCAGACCGGGAATATCAAATGGTAATTTTATAACTCCAAGGGCGGTAAGCATGAGGAACAGCCACAGAGGAAAGATCTTCATGCATAGCACCAAGATAGACTTTTGCCCTGCGGAGAAGAGCGGTAGAGAACTTCAGCCCAAATTTCACATCATAAATTATTAGTTCAGAACGATGCAAATAGGTAGGATTGCTTATGAGGGATGACGCAAATCTTGTTCAAAATGATTACACGCTTTATCATTTAGTACATAATCAATCAGGTTCTTCCTAGCAATGCAAAAATCCTTAGGCGGTCCATCATTCAGAATCAGAAAGTAAATTTCGCCTTTTCTCATAATAAAAAAAGAGGTAAAAATCGTGGTTATAAATTGCAGTGTAAATGTAGCGCATAATAGCTACTGAATGTAATTGCTGATTAGGATGATGAACCGAAGGGGAATCAGCGTGGCGCATCACCTTCCTGTGCGCGCGACTCGGTGTTGTCGACCACCCACTCGGCGGCCTCGCGGATTCGGCGCTCGGCGTCGCTCTCCGGCTGCCCGATCGGCGTGGAGGCGAGGAGCTCCATGAAACCGGACTGTTTGTCCCTCCCAGAGGCGGACGGGTCGTCGGCGGCGCCGATAGCGCGCCGCACCTCCGCGACGGACGGCTGGGGCGGAGCCGCCGTGGAGGGCTTCTGGGGACGCGACCCCGGCGCGCGCCGCCGGATACGGCGGACGGGGTCCCCGGAGGCGGAGGATGACACGACGGCCAGACGCGGGACGCAGGCGGCGACGAGGTGGCACGCCATGGGGTTTCGGAGTGTGTGACTGCCAGAGCGTGTGGGGCTCCTGCGAAGAGGAACTTCGCAGGCGGATAAAGCTTGTGTTGGTTTTATATTTAACACAGACACAAGGGATCATATATGCACAAGCATAATGTCCCACAGTATCGGATTTATTATGAAAAACATGTTGCAACGCAGTATCGTCCTTCTACAAAATGAACATAAAAAAATACGTTGCAATTTAGTCGTGTCCATATTTTCTTTGTGGGACGTAATGTCCCATCGATTTCATTTAAATACCTTTTTTAATGGCATTTAAGTATGATCCTTTCATTAATTATCATGAAGTCCTCATCCATTTTATTCAGGAATTAAATCTTTGCTTTTCTAATTTAGTAGCCCCAACACATCAAGGCCTATAAATCCTTTCTTTTAATTATTCTACCTTTTTACCTCAAATTCTTCATGTAGAATTTATTAAGACCACAATCTTTCTAATAGTTATTCCACCGATTTACCCATAATCCTTTCTTTAATTAGCCACATTCGTTTAAATATTATATTTAAGCCCACAATCCTTTCTTTATTAGTTCATTCGCTTAATTAGCTCTTCCTAAACATGAGCCTTGGACCTCACCCTTCCCCATCTACAGGAACGAAGGGCGATTTGTGCGAACCCCGGGCTCTCCACCTCGCCGTTGCCGAATCGGCGGCTCCCTCGCCCTCCGTCGGGCGCTCCGGCGGCGGGAGGACGGGGAGGCCCGATTTGCAGCGTGTACATAGTGTAGGAGTGCCTAGGGAGCCAGCCGGTGGCGTCGTGGAGGCGGCGGTGCGACTGGATCGGTTTTTTGCAGGTGTTGGTCTCCCCTTCGACGGCGAAGTTCCAGTGGAGCTCCGCGGTGGACCAGCTCCCTTCTTCGTGCTCGCTGCTCGGTGGAGAGGTCGTGCATGGCTCCCCAGTGCCAGAGATCGAGGATGGCGATTCCGGCGGTTGAAGATCTAGAGAAGGAAGGCGATGTTGAGCGGTGCGATGACGACGACGGCCATGGGTGTAGGTCCTCGGGGGCCGTTGATCAGAGACTTCCTGTTTCGCCCGAGGGCTGCTTCGATCCAAGGCGTCAGCGAGCAGCGGCGAACGGCGCGTCACCGGCTCGTCCACGGCACAGGCGTAGTCGGGTTGAAGAGGGGCTTGGTTGTAATTTCCTTTTCTGTGTGGACCTTTCAGTAATTTGGCCGTTTTAATATCAACTCCTTTTTTCGCAAAAAAAACATAATGACTGCCACTCGTATATTTAGAGTGAGTTGGGATTAGTAAATATGAAAGGTGCATAAGTCTTTGGTTGTTACATCTAAGAGATAGACAGGAGGTCTTGAGTTCAATTCCCACAATGTTGATTTATTTTGACCCAATTATTTTTCGCGGTCTCTCTATGAAAGTCCATAAAAGGCTCATCAACATACAAGTAACTGGCCTAGATCACTTAACGTGTGTAAACCAAACGTAAAGGACTAAACCAAACCAAGAATATCTATTCCCTTTAATACCCGCTCCTTTCTTCGTGCTCGCTGCTCGGTGGAGAGGCCGTGCACGGTTCCCCTGTGCCAGAGATCGAGGGATGGCGATTCCGGCGGTTGAAGATCTGGAGAAGGAAGGCGATATTGAGCGGTGCGACGACGACGGCGGCCATGGGTGTAGGTCCTCAGGGACTGTTGATCGGAGACTTCCCGTTTCGCCCGGGGGCTGCTTCGATCCAAGGCGTCAGCGAGCAGCGGCGAACGGCGCGTCACCGGCTCGTCCACGGCGCCGGCGTAGTCGTGTTGCAGAGGGGCTTGGTTGTAATTTCCTTTTCAGTGTGGACCTTTCAGTAATTTGGTCATTTTAATATCAACTCATTTTCTCACAAAATAAATAAATAAACATGATGACTGTCACTCGTATATTTAGAATGAGTTGGGATTAGTAAATATGAAAGGTGCATAAGTCTCTGGTTGTTATATCTAAGAGATAGACCGGAGGTCTTGTGTTCAATTCCCACAATGTTGATTTATTTTGACCCAATTATTTTTCGTGAGGTCTTGTGTTCAATTCCCACAATGTTGATTTATTTTGACCCAATTATTTTTCGCGGTCTCTTTATGAAAGTCCATAAAAGGTCCATCAACATACAAGTAACTGGCCTAGATCGCTTAACATGTGTAAACCAAATGTAAAAGACTAAACCAAATCAAAAATACATATTTCCTTTAATAGTAGGTATAGATAAACACGCACACACTTTTACCTCTGCAAGCATCTCTAAGTTGTATATCATCTTGAGATTAACGAAGTCATCAAAATCCGATACACTATGTGGTGTTTGATTGTGCACTG